TTTTATTTTTACATAATAACTTGTTTATATTATTATTAAAGCACGGAAATTATTTATTTATTTATATATTTTTCTTTCACTTTTGTTATGTTTGGTTATATTGAATATTCTTTTAAATTTATTTCCGAAAAAACAAATAATAATAATAATAATAAACGAGAACGAATTTAATTTGAAAAAAAAAAGAGGAAAAAATTATTACAATATCTTACATTATAAATTTTTTTTTTTTAATTGACCACACCAAAAAATAATAATAATAATAATAATAATAATAATAATAATAATAATAATAATAATAATAATAATAATAATAATAATAATAATAATAATAATAATAATAATAATAATAATAATAATAATAATAATAACAATAATAACATAAAAATAAAAATAAAATAAATTTTTTTGTAACCAATTTTTTAAAAATTTCCACGAAAATTAAAATTATAAATTAAAAATTGAAAATTATTTATTTGACTAGATAGTATATACATATATTATTATTTCACCGGTTATAATATTAATAATAATAATAACGAATTATTTTATTATGTTTCCAGTCAAAACAAATTTAACACAAAAAAAATAAAATAAAAAATAAGATTATTTATTACCATATTATTATTCTTCACCCTGTTTTTCTATTTTTTTCTTTTAAATCGTCAGTCAATCATTTATGACGTCATTGTTGTAATTAAAAATAAATAAATTTTTTGTTTGTTTTTCGATTTAATAATTAATTTTAAAACTACGTATTCGTGTTATTATGTTTTGTTTGTTATCTTTACAATTATGTGTAAAAAGATAACCAGTTATAAATTTAAGTAATTTAATTAAATGCAGTCTATTAAAATATATATATATTTTTTTTTTTTTTTTTTTATTTAAAGAAGGCAGTGAGTGCTTAAAGCGAAAATTTTTTTAATATTGGTTACAAAAAAAAATAAATTAAATTTTTTTTTATTATTTTATATCCTCATCGTTTAAAAAAAATAAAATTAATGAGAGAGAGAGAGAGAGAGAAAACTCAACGTAAAAAAAAATTATATATATATATAACAAATTAAAAAAAAGAAAAAAAATTCCTTTCAACCTATTTTATATAAATTATATATATATAAAGATACTAATAATAATAATTACAATACACTACTATATTTACAAGCGATTAAAAATTTATTCATTATTATTATTATTATTTGTAGTTTTTTTTTTTTTTCTTTTTAAAGTATATATAAATCGT